TGATAAAAAATGATAATAATAATGATGATGATGATGATGATAATAATAATGATGATGATGATGATGATAATGATGATGATAAAAAAAAAATAATAATAATAATAATAATAATAATAATAATGATGATGATGATGATGATGATGATGATGATGATGATGATGATGAGCAAGTCCAGGGATAGGGGTGATAATAATGATGATGATGATGATGATGATGATGATGATGATGATGGTGATGATAAATAATAATAATAATAATAATAATAATAATAATGATGATGATGATGATGATGATGATGAATAATAATGATGATAATAATAATAATAATAATAATAATAATAATAATAATGATGATAATGATGATAATGATGATGATGATGATGATGGTGATGATGATAAATAATAATAATGATAATAATAATAATAATAGTAATAAAGCACTAACAGTATTTCTCTAAAAAAAATTAATAGTGCAGTGTAATTTAGCCTAGACTAAAAAACTTGTTCAAACTATGTGTTTAAAATGAGTTAAAACCACACAAATGTTCTTTAGGACAATTGAATTGTTTTATGTCTAATCTACTTAACTTACTGTGATTGATTTGTGTTGGGACAACATGAATGAATTGTGTGCATCCCTGCATTTTTTACAGTTTTAAAGTACCATTATTTATTTGTTCTTTGTAACTAAACACGTTTACACCACTCCAAATGCACTGAAAATGCAACTGTGGTTGAAACAGCTGTTTCTAATTTTTAATTAAAGGGTCAGTTCACCCAAAAATGAAAATTACAGGTAAGTCATAGTTTACTTATCCTCCACTTGTTCCAGACCTGTTTGAGTTTCCTTGTGAACACAAAGAATGATACACTGAAGAATGCTTGAAAAAACAACCCCTGACCTCCATATTTTTGCAGCTCTTTTCTAACATTTTTGTTTTGTGTTAAATAGAAGAATGCATTAAGTTAAGAACTGCTTGTGTGTGTAAGTAAATGCAGTGGAAGTTTTAATTTTTGGGTGAACTGTCCCTTTAAGTTAATCTCTTTAAGAGACATACAGTATATTATTAACGCAACCCAGGTTCATTAAGGATATGTACTCTTGTATATATTTCTGGAGAGCACGAAATACATCCCAGGAGTTGGATTGTTTGCAACTTGAATATATTTTATTTAGACCACCAATTATTTCCTGTTGTTGTTTTCAAAGTGAGTTTAAAATCAATAGTATATTATTACAAACATGAATCAGATGTGATAAAATCACGTTTTAATCTTCTCTGAGCAATGTTTAATCGCTTATATACCCTGCAGCAGACTTGCACAACACATCTCATTTAAGCCAAAATCAACATATGTGGTAATTAACCACATTTTTAGGACTGCGGCATGTACAGGATGCTCATGATAAAATCTTACTTCCTCTGATACTGCTTTAAAGATAAAGATAATTAATAAAATTACAATTTCTGGACATCACGGGTCAAATTTGAACAAAAAAAAGCTGTTCTGACTTAGATTTGTTGCCTTATTTTATGTCTAAATATCTAACAATTCTTAAATCAAGAAACGTTTTCTAGACAAGCAAAAAATATTGTTTTGTTTTTAGAAATAATGAGGCAAAATTAAGTGAGCTTTACCTTAAAACAAGCTAAATAATCTGCCAATGGGGTAAGCAGAGTAATCTAATTGCAAAGCAAAAACAAGATTATTTTTCTTACCACATTGGCAGATTGTTTTGCTTCTTCTATAAGTAAAACTCACTTAATTTTGACTCATTATTTCATAACAATATTTTTTGCTTGTCTAGAAAATGCTTCTTGATTATGCATTGCTAGATATTTTGACTTAAAAATAGGTCAAAATATCAACTTTATTGATTTTAAAAACAACTTTATTGTGTTTTACCTACATTACCTTGCAGATATTCAGTAACAAAGGTATTTTCATTTTGTTTTTGCTTTTTTTAACGTAACTTAAGACAGAAACTAATGAACACAACAAATATTAAAAAGAAAAAGAAATGGATCAAATGATGAAATAAAATCAATAAAATACAATAAAATAAAATAAACAAAATACAATAAAATAAATACAATAAAATAAAATAAAACAAAATAAAATGAAAAATATAATAAAAGAAATAAAATAAAATGAATAAACAAAACAAAACAGAATAAATAGAATAAAATTTAATAAATTAAATTAAATTAAATTAAATACAAAAATACAATAAAATAAATTAAATAAAACAAAACAAAATAAATGAATTAAATTAAAACTAAACAAATAAAAAAACCAACCAAAATAAAATAAAACTAAACTAAATAAAATAAAACAAAATAATACAAATTAAATAAAACGAAATAAAAAAACTAAATTAAATAAAACTGAATAAATAAAATAAAACTAAATAAATAAATAAACAAAATTAAATAAATAAGAAAATAAAATGTTTTGATTTTTAAATTTAATTTGTATTTATTATTTAATTAATTCTTTTCATTTTTCTTTTTTATACAGGGAATTTGTTTCTGTGTTATGTTGGTTTGTGGTAAAAAAAATAAAAATAAAAATAAACGAAAATATGGGTTATTAAAGATTCTCAATATGGGTTATTAAAGGGTCCCATATTTGGTCTGGTTGATCCTCTGAGAAAATATTTGAATGTTTCTGTTTTCAAAAATAACATTACATCACTAAGCCAAATAGAGAGTTTAATCAGCATTGGTGATTTTCACTCTACAGGAATTCTTCTTCTAACTATTAACAAAACTCACTTTCGACATTATTTCTGAAAACAAGACAGAATTTATTCTTGTCTAGAAAATGTCTTGATTTAAGAATTTTTATATATTTGGACAAGAAAAAAGACCAAAACATCAAGAAAGAAGCGCATTTAAATGAATATACATTGGCTTTGAAACATGTTTTGAAGTATGTCTTATCAGAAAGCCCGGGTTGAGGATTTTTAGCTACGCAGAGGTGATTGTAATTCTTCTCTCTGCCAAATAAATGAGCTCTGTGGTCACTCCTCTATGAAATGACGGATGGAAACACAGTTATCATCACTAGCTGATTAAATAAAACAAACTCAACAAATAAACATGCAGTGCAGCAACAGGAGAGTCTGTGTCATGTCACTGACCGACTGCTGTCATTCATTCAGTCATTTTCCTTCAGCTTAGTCCCTTTTTTATAAGGTGTCACCACAGTGGAATAAACCACCATATCCAAGCATTTGTTTTTTTTATGCAGTGGATACCCTTCCAGCTGCAACTCAGTGATGGGAAACACCCATACACACTCATTCACACACACACACACACTCATATACTACAGCCCATTTAGTTCATCAATTCCCCAAATAGCGCATGTGTTTGGACGGTGGGGGAAACCGGAGCACCTGGAGTAAACCCACAATTAAAAACAGCTTTTATTCAAGCTCAAATAAAATTAATAGGACTTTCTCCAGAAGAAAAAATATTATAGGAAATACTGTGGAAAATTCCTGAATCTGTTCAACATCATTTGGGAATTATTTAGGAAAAATACAGCAGGGCGAATAATTCTGACTTCAGCAGTAAGTAGGCGAGAGTGTCCACTCACCATCAGTGTTGATCTGCTCAGGCGTCTGAAGCGGCAGGATATATTCGGACGTCATCGCCTGATTGGCTGAATCCGCAGCACCTGACTCTGGCTTTTCGATGTCATTGGTGGAGGTGGTGGTGGAGACGGGGATGTGGCAGAACTTCCCGGTGAAATTTGGCGGACAGTGACACTGATCCTTCTGAACACACACTCCTCCGTTCTTACACAACATCGGACACAAGACTGACAGGAGAAACAGAGAGAGAGAATCACAACACTGTTATGATGTGTTTAACGGTCATCATAAACATTCATTTACCATCTTAGTCCCTTATTTATCAGGGGTCGCCACAGCGGAATGAACCGCCAACTATTCCAGCATATGTTTTACACACCCATACACACTCATTCACACACACACTCATACACTACAGCCAATTTAGTTCATCACTTGCAATATAGCGTATGTTTGGACTGTGGGAGAATCCAGAGCACTCGGAGGAAACCCACACTAACACCGGGAGAACATGCAAACTCCACACAGAAAATGACAACTGGCCCAGCTGGGACTCGAACCAGCAACCTTCTTGCTGTGAAGCCACCGTGTCGCCAGTGTTGGGGAAATTTACTTTTGAAAGTAATCCATTACAATATTGAGTTGTATTACGTTACTTTCGAGTTACTTTTATGTTACTTTTGCATTACTTTTGCATGACGTTCGAGTTACTTTTGAGTTACTTTCGAGTTACTTTCGAGTTACTTTTGTGTTACTTTTGAGTTACTTTTGAGTTACTTTCGAGTTACTTTCGAGTTACTTTCGAGTTACTTTGTGTTACTTTCGAGTTACTTTCGAGTTACTTTGTGTTATTTTCGAGTTACTTTTGAGTTACTTTTGTGTTACTTTTGAGTTACTTTTGTGTTGCTTTCAAGTTACTTTTGAGTTACTTTTGTGATACTTTCAAGTTACTTTTGAGTAACTTTTGTGATACTTTCAAGTTACTTTTGAGTTACTTTTGAGTAACTTTTGTTACTTTTGAGTTACTTTTAAGTTACTTTTGAGTTACTTTTGAGTAACCTTCGAGTTACTTTTGAGTTACTTTTGTGTTACTTTCGAGTAACTTTTGAGTTACTTAAACCTTAACTTAAACCCTACTTTAGTACTTTTTTTATTAGTAAAGTAAAATCTTGCGCCACGGTGGCTCAGTGGTTAGCACTGTCACCTCACAGCAAGAAGTTAGCTGGTTCAAGTCTCGGCTGGGCCAGCTGGCATTTTTGTGTGGAGTTTGCATGTTCTCCCCATGTTGGCATGGGTTTCCTCCGGGTGCAAAATAGGAAAATGAATGAAGTAAATTCACTGTCCATTGAGACAATCCCCCTTTTTCTTTTTTCAATGCATTCAAAATAATGAACACATTCTCTCATCGAGTACAAGATTCCACTTTAATATTAGTTCAGCAATTCATTTTTTAAAAGCTCTAACTAACTTGCATTTTGCACCAAAATACACACACACAAAAAAAAGACTGCTTGTGCGAGGTGTTTGTTATGCAGTGTATTTGGGTGCGGGACAGTAAATTTGACATTATTCTCTCTTCTTGCTGCCGTTATCAGTCTCACACTATTTATTTCTTTTTCTGAAAGTCTTGATAACACTATTGTGGAGTTTTTCTTTTATTATTTGGTAACACTTTATTCTGATGGTCTATTAAAGTATTAGTAGACGGTCTGCTTAATATCTGTTATTACTGCTGCTAAACAGACATTTACCAGACTACAAGAAACTTGGCAAGTACATGACAACTAACCCTAAACCCTAACCCTAACCCCAACCAAACAGTCTACTTATAATCTACTGAGAATTAGTTGGCATGTAGATGCAATGTAACTTAATTCAACAGACGGACCATCAAAATAAAGTGTGACCTATTATTTCAGTAAATAGGACTGTAAACAAATGATTAGTTGTACTCTCCTATTCACTGCGCTCTAAGTTCACTCAACTATGATGACTTCCGCTACTGAGAAACCCGGATATGTAAAAAAGGGCTCATAAAAACACAGCAAATCCCTCATCAATGACTTCATCCATCTCTCAACCGCATGAGGAAAAAGGAAATTACGCAATTGTTTGCTATTAAAACCGCTATTGTGCTTTAGACGAAAGACTCAGAATGAATGTTGAGTCTTGGTTAACTGCCTCTCAAAAATGGAAAGTTTCTAATAAAAGCAGCTGTTGTATTTCTTCTATTTCATTAGTCGGCTCAGCATGTCTTCTAGATCATATGTCTGTGGTGTACTAATGCGTTTGAAAAGCGTGGACGGGGATCGTGCCTAAAGAAATGAAAGTAAATGTGGCACATGAGAGAGAAAGACAGGCTGTTTTTACTATGCAATAGCTCGAGCACAATCTCTACACTCGCAGAAATAAAGGGACGAAGCTGTCACTGGGATGGTACCTATTCAAAAGGTACACATTTGTAATTAAAGGGTCCATATTGGTACCTCAAGAAAGAGTAAAAGTAAAGTAAAGAGAAAGTAAAGAGGCTGAATGGAGGAGGCTCGTTCTTTATCCTCGCGCTGCAAATGCTCTGTTGAACTGTTTTCTCGCTAGTGAAGCATTCAGTTTTTACACTTACAAAGTTCACCATGTAAATAGTAAATGCACCATGAAGCGACACAACTGACTCTTAACGGGAATAAGAGACGAGACTCTGATTGGTTTAATGCAGGTTATGCTCAAAACACAGCCAGAACTCATTAAGAGAATAAGCACAACCCTGTTAGACCATGCGGCAGGGCGCAGAGCGTATGTATTCATCCTTAAAATAGCAAAAGCGGATTCAGACATGCCCTTAAAGCTTTTGCACCATGAACTTTAGGCTTAAAATACAGCTCTAAATGTTGGAACCTTCTAAATGGATAGGGCATAGGGGGGATAACTGTGAATAGAACACAACCAGGAACTATGACTGGAACAGCTCTAGAGGTGTATTTGCAAGTGCACAAGTTTGCAATGCAGTTTGTGACTGTTTGTGAGAACAGATTTGGGAAACGCCCAATCAACGAACTATGTTTGTAATGACAGAACTTGCAATCTTAGTTAGCTAATTATGGTTTTCGAAAATGCACCCCTTGTTGTTAAAGACACATATGTAAATTTGACTTAATTTAAAAATAAACATGCAAGAGTGTGTAAAAGGCACTATATGACAGGTCAGATGCTGTATGATGGCACTAATGCAAAATGCAATGGCTAAGTTACTTCAAAAAAGTAATTACTAATTACTAATTTAATCAATAAAATTGTATCTACATTACTTTTCTAATTACTTTGTCTAAAATGTAACTTAATTCATCAATAAGTAGTTTAATTGCTTATAAATCTATATAAATCTCAACACATGGACAACCTAAATTAAACAAAATGTATATACAGTATTTAATGCAAGGAAATTATAAGTAACTGTAACTAAATTCCTTAAAGATAAAGAGTAAGTCCCTTAATTCTGTTTGCAAGCCTCATCTTTTTACGTTGACTTTAAATAAGCGCAGCATCTTATCTAACATGGCTTGGTGCCAGAAGAGTTACAGATGTTGTTATGAAACATGTTTAATAAGGATGTGCTTTATTTTAGTTCAAATGATAACTAAAAGGACGCAAGAATAACAACACACTGTTTGGAAACTGCAGTAGTACTAAAGGAGACACAGAGAAGATGACAAATGAGAAATCATCTCTATTTTTCTGTAGAGTAAACACACACAAACACTGAGGAGACGGTGGAGATCTGTTCTCTTTGGCTGACCCATTTACTCCCAGCTGTCCATGACAAGAGATGTGTGTGTGTGTGTGTGTGTGTGTGTGTGTGTGATGTGATAAATCTGTGCAAATGCTGAGCTCACACAGACCATTATATCTAGTTAGAGGAGATTTACCTTTCATTTCGTAGAAAGACACACACACGCACATTAGGCAGATTTAGCGGAGACTGAGCATCATTTAAAGTCCACAAGTCTCCTTCATTACTACAGCAGGTTCAGAGCAGGTCAGGATTCACTTTCTGCCATATGCATGCACGCAAATCATTTCATATAGTCCGGTACATAGCATCTAAACAAAAAAAAAACTCAATGCACAGAGCTATTTAAAAATTAAATTAAATACTTAAACAATAGCTGATAATAAAATGGAAAAATATTTTATTATTAAAACAAATAACTGAAAAAGAGCTGCTTTGGCTAAAAATAACAGGGAATAAATAAATAAATAAATAAATAAATAATTCAAATCTATTATTTAAATTTAACAAATCCATAATATAAAAAATAGCTGATAATAAAATAGAATAAATAAATAATAAATTATTAAAACAAATAACTGAAAAAGATCTGCTTTGGCTAAAAATAAAAGGGAATAAATAAATAAATAAATAAATAAATAAATAAATAAATAAATAAATAAATAAATTAATTAATTAATTAATTAATAAATCAATAAATCAATAAATAATTAAAATCTATTAGTTTAAATTTAACAAATCCATAATATAAAAAATAGCTGATAATAAAATAGAATAAATAAATTATAAATTATTAAAACAAATAACTGAAAAAGAGTTGCTTTGGCTAAAAAAAACAGGGAATAAATAAATAAATAAATAAATAAATAAATAAATAAATAAATAAAATTATTAAAATTATTAAAATCTATTAATTTAAAGTTAACAACTGCATAATATAAAAAATAGCTGATAATAAAGTGGAATAAAAAATAATAAATTATTAAAACAAATAACTGATAAAGAGCTGCTTTGGCTAAAATAACAGGGAATAAATAAATAAATAAATAAATAAATAAATAAATAAATAAATAAATAAATAAAATAATTAAAATCTATTAATTTAAAGTTAACAAATGCATAATATAAAAAAAGTTGATAATAAAATGGAATAAATAAATAATAAATTGTTAAAACAAATAACTGAAAAAGAGCTGCTTTGGCTAAAAATAACAGGGAATAAATAAATAAATAAAATAATTTAAATAATTAAAATCTATTAATTTAAAGTTAACAACTGTATAATATAAAAAATAGCCGATAATAAAGTGGAAAAAAATTATAATAAATTATTAAAACAAATAACTGAAAAAGAGCTGCTTTGGCTAAAGTTAACAGGGAATAAATAAATAAATAAATTAATTAATTAATTAATTAATTAATTAATTAAAATCTATTAATTTT